TAAAGATTCTCATGGGGGAAGAAAACCTAGGGAAGACTCAGGGAATTCAGGAAGGAAAATCACAGTAGGAATATAAAATGTAATTATTATTGTAGAATATCTCTTGTCATAGTAAAGCTTTATAATAGATGAGGTGTGCCAGGGGAAGTACTCTTATGCTGCAGTTTAGTCAGGAGAATTAAAAATTGAGATACACAGAAAAATCACCCCTGTGACTCTCTGGTCTTTAGAAGAGAGCCAGTTTCTTGAATGAAAGGAATACGGTTTAGAATTTTTAGAATCATTTTTAGAATCATTTGGTAGCCCCTGCAAACCAGGAATTTATGGACAGTAGCAGCTGGAGAGGGAAGGTCTGGCAACTTCTGCAGGAACAGACCCTCATCTGTGTGGATCCCGTCTAAGGTCTGGTGAGCCTGGTACTCTAACCATCAAGCAGTGCAGCTCCATGGTGGAACGGCTGGAGCAGTGCCCTCGTAGAGGCATGTGAACAATTCTCTGGCAAATCTCAATCTGACTATAACTTAAATCTGTTCTCTGGTAACAATAGCATTGCTGTGTGTAAAAAATGTTATCTCCTCACCCCACCCCTGCCCTGCCATCTCAGTCGTACAGCTGCACAGAAAATGCATCTGGAGCGTTTCCCAAAATGGGACAGAAAAGTGGCAGTCTTCCAGAGGGTCATTATAAACAAGACTCTTGAGATTAACATGCTTCTTCCCTTTGAAAGCTTCTGCTGGGGTCTGTGTGTCTGAACACTGAACAGAACTAAGAGTAGTGTCCTGTGCATGAATGTGTGTGTGCACGCATGGAGGAACATCAGAATGTGGACTGGAGCATGTGGATTGTCTAAACCTCACTGCCTCCAGTAGTGGCCAACAGTAAATGTCTTCCTCAGAATGTTCTCCCAGCCTCTAGCAGTATGTGGTTCAGCGACTCGTTGAGCTGAAGGTTGTCTTTGCACTTAATAATGCCTCTCTTCCCTGTGCATGCCTCTATTCACATGTGCTGCCAGACTCCTCTAATGACTCACTTTGGTTCCAGCCCAGACACTGCAGACCCTCAGCTCTCCACTGATCACTGGTGAAGAAGCCCCTCTCATTAGCCTGACAGTGGATAACACCCACCTGGAGCATGGGGTGGTGTACGAATACGTCAGCAGTGCAGGAATCAAATCCTTTGTCCTGGAGAAAATTGTGGAACCAAAAGGTTGCTTCAATCTCACTGCAAAGGTACTGGAAGACATGCATGGCCAGCCTCATCCCTAAACAGAACAGGGAAGCCAATAATATAAGCATTTCTCTGGTGACTTGGCTTGGCTCTTCACATGAGGTAGCACATGGTCTTCTCAACCCTGCCTGGAGTTTTCTTCATTAGAATGTACCAAGTTATAATAGCTCGTTTGGTATGAGCAAGTCAGCAAATGCTTCCAGGATTTCAGCTGTTGAGGTGGAGGGAGGGGAGCCCTCAGCTGTGGAATTCTCGATTTTATCTGTTTGGTAACATACTTTTTGCTGACACTCAAGATTAATCTTTTCAGGCAAGAATTTGCTTTACCTTGGAAGAAAATCAAGCAGCTTTTTGCTATCTAATAGGCTGGGTAGGTCACTGAAGGAAGCAAGCAGAACTGCTGCTATTGGAAAGTGGCAGTGCACTTAGCATTTTGGTCATTTATGATAATTATGATATAATAGTAAATGTTTCTGTCACATTTCAGTAACGTTGTTGTTATGTCCCATGAAAGTACGCCAGAGCAGATAACTTTGACAGTGCACTGTGGATTTCAGTTATTCTAAAAATTTTTGAGGAATGTTTTATGAGTCTGGGGATTAGCCATGACTAAAGGCAACTTGTCTGAAGGCAGCTTTGTTCGACCATGACAACAGGGGGGCTTTGCCGCTTTCTCAATGGAAGAAAACTGTGTTTTCCCTCACTGTCAAGTCTCTTATCATTGACGTCCTGTCTTTTTGTTTAGATTTTAGAGGCCTTTGCCGCAGAGGACAATCACTTCGTAAGGAATTGCAAAAGACTCATATCTCTAAGCAGTGCTGTGGCCACCATGCCCCAGTATGAATTCCGGCAAATCTGTGACACTAAGCTGGAAAGCATTAGCAGAAGGCTCACAAACTACCAAGAGGTACAACACTACTCGTTACTGGTGAAGCCTCAAGACAATACTTCATTGTGATAACTGAGTCTTAGTATTATTTATTAATGAATCTGAACTGCTGTAGAGGTAGGTGTCCTAGAGGCATGAAAACAGCTCTGCAAGTTGTTGAAATTGCAAGTTTTGAAGAAAAAGGACCTTATCTGTAAATCACTTCTTTCAGCTTGTCAGAGCTGTGGCTTATACAGTGTTATTGCAGGTAAGATCCCCACCTGGAATACTGTGTTCAGATGTGGGGCCCCCAACATAAAAAAGACCTGGACGGTGAGAGAGAGTCCAGAGGAGAGCCACAAAATTGGTCAGAGGGCTGGTGCACCTCCCCTGTGAGGACAGGCTGAAAGAACTGGGGTTGTTCAGCCTGGAGAAAAGGCTCCGAGGAGACCTAATAGCAGCCTTCCAGTACCTGAAGGGGCTACAGGAGAGATGGGGAGGCACTCCTTATCAGGGGGTGTAGTGAGAGGACAAGGGGTAATGGGTATAAGCTGAAAGAGGGGAGATTTAGACTAGACATTAGGAAGAAGTTTTTCACTGTGAGGGTGGTGAGGCAGTGGCCCAGGTTGCCCAGAGAAGCTGTGGATGCCCCATCCCTGGAGGGGTTCAAGGCCAGGCTGGATGAGGCTTTGAGCAACCATGGCAGGGGGGGGAACTGATAATCTTTAAGGGCCTTTCCAACCCAAACCAGTCTGTGATTCTGTGATTCATTTCCACCATATCGGTGAATAAATATGACAACAGAATGATCAGTGTGTGATTTAACATGAACATAAGTACAGTGTATCGTAGTGTAAACAAACTGTGTGAGCTTTTTTGCATGGTTACCTGAGCTCTTTGAAGAGAGTCCTAGAAGGTATAGCTAGTTGCTTTCATTGGTTGTTTTATGAGATTATTTTTTTTTAATACGTTATTCGAGCTGCAGCTGGAATCATGATTCTGGAATAGGAGGCAGAAAGAGAAAAGGATTGTCTGTTTTGCATCATAATTTTTTTGCAAATGAAGTAGAACATGCTCTATTTCTCCTAGTTTGCAGATGAATTGAAAACAAAGGTGAGCCCAGCCTTCAAACAAGCCCTTATGGAACCACATTCCCTCAACAGCATGGATTTCTGCCCCACCAACTGCCATGTGAACCTCATGGAGGTGTCATACCCCAAAAACACTACCTCAGCAGGGAGGTCGTTCAGCATTCGCATTGGACGGAAGCCCTCTATTATTGGTCTTGATCCAGAACAAGGTGATAATTAACTTTCAAATCATACTGATTTTATCTGCATAAAAAGTTGTGTCTGTCTACTGCTCAGGAAAATCAAAATAAGTTCCAAAGAAACACTGTTACCAATACCCTTTTTTCCTCCTTAAAATTTTATAGTAGAATGACAGCCTCCTTGTGTTTAAAATGGTTAATGCCTTTAAGCATAGAGAGGCTTCAGGTCGAATGTTTTTACTGGCTAAGCAGTGTGGTCATCTCGTGATAATTAAGTGCCTGGAGTATTGTTTGCACGTAGTAGAGCTGCCTTACTGCCTAAAAGAAAAGTGAATGGGGGCTAAGAGCTCTGTGGGGGCTAGTTCTGTGAAGAGAGGCTACATTCAGGGGGAAAACAAGAGTCAGTCAGATTGGAGTACTCTCTTCTTTTGTCATTACTAAATAAATTCCATGCATTGGAGCTGAAAGTCTCTACTCTGTCAAGGGGATCTGTTTTCTGATAAATAGCTGCTACAGGTCCTACAGCCTGATTATTTGAGTTCCACAATTTCTCCATCGTGATCTCACCTAATATGCTTCTCATTCATTGTCTTGTGAGGGTCAGAGTGCAGGAATGTTTGGAAGAGGCACAGAAGTGTAGACTAACCACTCTTCTGAAGAAGGGCATTGACTGTTCAAATGGAGGTTGTTAAAGAAGCGCTGCTTACTTGAAGATATTAAAATTCCATAGTATTTTTAATGTGAGCTAAGGTGGTTAGCAAAGAACCATACCAAAACTGTCAACATTTTTAAATGAAAAGGAATTCTATTTATCTTCTCTAATGACATAGTTCTATTTCTTTATATATATGTGTGTGTGTGTGTAAATGTAAAGCTGGAATAATAACACAGACCAACTCCAGAGAACCTAAATTCATTAACATTTCAATAAATGCTTTTAGATACTATCCATGTTGTCTATATATGTGTGGACACTTGGTGTCTTCACTTCCATAATTTAACCTGTTTCTGGACTGCAGTAATTTCAAAACATCTAGTTGGGATGCCAGGGAAAACAACCTTCTCTCTTTTTTTTCTTTTTCTTTAATGTCATAGAATGCAATTATATAAAATAATTAACTGAAATTTTATTTTTCCTGTTAAAATTCTACCTATCTTAAACTATCATTATTGGGATGGAGTGGGTAAAGTCGTGAAAGCTGTACTAACTAGACCCTTCAATGTTTAGTAGGTACCTTAAATCCAGTCTCATATACTCAGCATTGCATCACCACTATGGCTGCACCATCCTGGAGATGTCTGACCCCAGAAGATGGAGATACTGATGGCAGCTTTGGCCAGCAGAATGGAGGAACAATTCAGGAAGAAAGGGGACTCAGTTTTCTGCTGAAACAGGAAGATCGGGAGATACAGGACTCATACTTGCACCTTTTTAACAAACTTGACGTTGCAGTGAAGGAGATGAAGCAATATGTCATTCAGATAAATAAGTGAGTAAAGAATCCTGTATGCACTGCAGAGAGCAGTTCTGATAAAGTGGAGGCATTAACCTCCGAAAACATTGTGCCTGTCAGCCCCAGCTGTCATACCCTTATGCTCACCTATTCACACGTGCACTTGTATTGCAGCTGGTTGTGTCAAACCTACTGTGCAGATCCACCAATGTATAGATTATTGCCCTTTTCTCCTAAAAGCTTACCTGAATTCCACAGCCACTGTTTTGCTTTTATATAGATTATTGCCCTTTTCTCCTAAAAGTCTACCTGAATTCCACAGCCACTGTTTTGCTTACAGTATATTGTGGTATAAGAATGGATTTGGTGCCAACAGCAGTCTTGGAACTCCATACAGAGTCCCTATTGTTGAGATTTTGCCTGTCATAAGGCAGACGAAGCAAAACTTGTGACTTCAGGCAGCTTTCTCTGTGGCACCTATGTTTTCCTTTCCTCTTTCTGTCTTTTTCTCACCACGGGTGTCCTAGCAGTAGTAATGAAGGATTTGAGTAGCGCGTCTGTGTCTGTGCGTCACTGGCAGGGTTTTGGTGGCAGGGGCTGCAGGGGTGATCTGTGTGGGAGACGACCATAGGCTGCCCTGAGCCGCTCACAGCCGTTTCCAGGAGTCCCAGCAACAAAAAAGAACAGCCCATCTTGCACCAAAACTTCAACTGACAAGAAAGCGTGTGGAGCCTTGGCTGTGACCTGTTTAAGAAAGGGCAGTAGGTGCTGGGCAGAGCCGGAGCGCTGAAGCACTGCCACAGAGGAGAAACCTCGCGCTTTGGATGGAGAAAGCGAGGACTCTGGAGGACTAAAACCAGAGCCCTTTCGGGCCACTGTGGGTACAGTGATTCAGCTGTACCTTATGGAGATAGGGTACCTGTGGAAATGGGACCTTTTGTGAACTGACATTCATGGATTTCAGTGAACCCCTTTCAGAGCTCACAGTTTCATATGGCTGTAGTCTGTGTAAGATGCTGGCAAGGTTGCTTTTGATTTCACATAGCTGGAATCGAGCCTTAGTCATTAAATGTCACTTGTGAGACTCCCCCAGTCCCTGAGAGCTCTGTGTTTCGCTTTTGCAGACTCCTGTCCACCATAACAGAGCCTACAGAAGGTGGTGCCTGTGAACCATCATCTGCTGAGGAGACGTCTCCCCCTTCCCTGGGAACAGAGGAGGGTGATCCTGACAAAGCTGAGATTGGAATCAAGAAGGTCTGTTTCAAAGTCTCTGAGGAGGACCAGGAAGACTCTGGACATGACACAATGAGTTTCAGAGACTCCTACAGGTTAGTCGGAAGATTGTGCCGCTTTTACCTCACTAATACAATGTTTCAAAGTTCTAATCCAGGTGTGCACTCAAGGAGCAGGTTATTTCCAGGCAGTCAGTTATTCTGTGTTCACTTAGTGAAGTATTCACTAGCTACAGTTATTTCATCCATTTATTACCAAGGAGATATTCACACTAAAAAGCTTTTCTCATAACAATGCCAAATACCAATGCTTCAAGAAAATTGAACAAAATGAAATAAACAGGTCTAGTATGACTTTCCCTTTCTATACCATATGGCTGGAAACTACAGGAGTTCAGCAGAGTTTGCAGACTGCTTGGTCTTATAACAGCTGCTATTCTAAGGGGGTGTTTCCATTCAGATCTGCAAACAACTTTCTGAAAAGTCTAAGACACTGAGAAACAGAAATGGACATGGAGGTGTTTTTTTTTTTCAATGGGCCTTTGAAACCACAAATGCAAATGTTTATTCAGGTGTCTCAAAATCTTGGTTTTGGGACATGATTGACTACTTCTTCTCCAGGAATATTTGCCACCAAACAAAATCTCACACACTCCAAATCTGTCTTTCTTGGGAGGAAACATTTGGACACAGCTTCAGAAGAAATAGAACAACAAGTTGCAGTTGTGTCTGACCACTGCAAATTTTACATCCTTAATAGGCCTTCTCTACATTTCTAGTGAGGCCCATAGGCCTGTACAGAGGAGTAAAGACACTTCCCAGTGAGATGGGAGGGTTACAGTAACCCGAGTGATGCATCTTCGAAACTTCCATGCTACAAACCTGTCTCTTTACTTGCTGTTGGTTTTGTACTCGTACCGGCAGTAGTACATTACATTCATGCAGGACTGCAGAAATGGCAGAATCGGAACAGTGTACGTTGGAAGGGGTCTGTGGAGCCTGTGTGGGCCAATCTCTTGCTCAGAACAGGTCCAACAGGACTGGTTGCTCAGGGTCTTGTCCAATTGAATATGGAACGTCTCAAAAGACAGCAAAGATGAAGTCAGTAAAGAAACAGAACCAGCACTGACAATGTTGAGACGGGTGGCATCTGTTTATTGTGCTAGATTTAAATCAGCACATGTGCTCTGAAGCGTTTTTATTGGGAAGTGCTGGATTCCTGTCATTGTTAATAGGGATCCCATTTGTGAACACTGTTCAGTTTAAATGGTTTCTATAATTGAGGCTAATCTAGCCTGGGTAACAAAGTGACATCAAAAACAGTCTCTGTGGGTCTGTCACTTGTTCCAAAATTTTACACATAAACGTAAGATGAGGAAGATTATTCTGTCTTATCTTTACTAGGCAGAGGCAAAGAATTAAGCATATATTACAGATAATAGTCACTCAACGGGGAATAAATTGTATCTTGATGGGTTTTGATCTGAAAAACTACTGAGGAGCTACAAAAATAAGCAAATTACAGATAAAATACCATGTTTGTATTAGCCATGCTTCTTTCTCTGGGATCATTTGGAGGTGTAGTTCAAATTTCATAAGAGTTCGTACTGCAGAGTAGTTGCCATAAGTATTAATCTTCAGAAAGAATTGAGTTCTTTGATAATAGGTTTACCAAAAGACAGGCAAGAACCCCGGTTAGGGTTCTTTCAGTTGCTCTTATAATTTTCTCTCATCTCAGTCTAAAATAAAAACTGAGGAAGAGACAATATGGAGAAATTTGTAGGCTTTGTTTTGGGCTTGTCCCATTAAAAACACTGTGTCACTTAATTGGATGGGGACACGCTGAGATCTGTAGCCTTTTTGATTACTTTTATTAAGTTATGGTTAGTGTAGAGTGAACTTTAAACAGAGGAGATTCATACTAGAGTTTTCCATGTGTGCATGAGCCAACATTGGGGTGAAGCCAACCGTACTGACTCCTCTGCTTCCTGAGATAGTTTTAGGATGTGCAGTGCCTGATTCTCTGATGGTACTGATTTCGTAGATTTCCTATCCCATCTGCAATATCTATGCTACTGCAGCTTCAGTGTATGCTGGAGTGGGATGCCATTACAGCCTGGGAATTGGTGCCAAATGTTGAGTTTAGTGGAGATTCAATCTCATAGATTGTAATTATTTCTCCCCTACTTGATGCTCATAGCGCATGTCTAATGATGTGACCCAGATGAGGTCTGTGGTGAGAAGTCCATTTTCGTTATTTATAGGATGCAGGCGATATTAAGCATTGTGTGGCCACTACAACTGGAGAGAGACATCCTCCTGCAGTGCCAGCCCCAGAGGCCCTGCTTAATGGTTGTTCTGCATGTCACTAGTTTTTCTTTTGTATATGCGTAACAAAATGGGTTTTGGGGGTTGCAGTGTTAATAAAAACATTGATACTATATCAGAGAGTGGGTGTAAGGACAGCTTTTTTTTCAATCACCTTTTTTGCTTTTCTTTCTAGTGAATGTAACAGTAACCGGGACTCAGTGTTGTCATACACCAGTGTACGGAGTAACAGCTCTTACCTGGGCAGCGATGAGATGGGGTCAGGTGAGTACACGCACAGGTTACGTGCATGTTTCTCATACCAGACCCTGCAGTAGAGCTGATAAGTCTCTGCTGATTATGAGCACTTGCATGTTTAAGTTGCAAATGTGGTTTCTTCAAAACTAACCACAAGAACATAAAGATATAGATTTGTTCTTTTTCTAATGAATCACAGAAAATTTGGGATATGGAAGAGGTGTTAGGCAGGGATAAGCTTCTTTAGTTACTGGACATTTGCATTATATGAATGAGTATTCTGATCTATGCGTTAGAGATAAAGCAGCAATCATTTTTCACCCACCCCCGTGTGAAGGTGTGCCTGTGTCATCTGTGGCCTCATCACAGATTGTGTTGGTAAGACGGTTAAAAGCTTTTCATCTTTCCTTTATTAGGAGATGAGCTTCCCAATGATATGAGGATTCCTTTAGACAAACAAGACAAACTTCATGGCTGTCTGGAACATCTTTTTAACCAGGTGTGTAAGGCATTACTATGACGCAGAATTGCTCCTTACCAATGTCAATACAAGAAATCAGAAGTACGAGTTTTTTTAATTAAATCACATCTTGAGGGAAGGCAAACTATTGAGATTTTGGGGTACAGTGTAAGCAAGTATATTATAGGACAGTTTGAGGAATCAGTTTTTTCAACATTCAAGTTGCCTTGTGTGATTTAAGCAAGGTTGACCTGCCTTATCTCGGGCATTAGACTAAGGGGAAATAAGCTTTTCATTAAAAAAAAGGAAAAGGTGAACAATTCCAGTACCTTATATGATCTAAGTGGATCACATTGCAGATCTTAGGAGAGTCCTCGCAAGTTTAGCCAACAGATGTCTTTATAGATTTATAGCACCAGAGAATGGTTTCATATTATCTTTTATCTCATCAGCACGCAGATCATCATTGTGCAAAACACTATGTTCAGCATGAGGATCTTGAGGCCAGTTCATGGTTAGAAAGTCTTAATGCCATTGCACAACGGGAAATCATTTCAAAATGCAAATAGTGTATTGGCTTTTGCATTTTCCCACAAGAGTTCTGTTCAGGTTTTCTTCTGCAAGTCTTTGTTGCTAACACTGATTGAAAACATTCCCCTTGTAGGTTGATGCAATCAATGCACTTCTGAAAGGACCAGTAATAACTAAAGCCTTTGAGGAAACCAAGCACTTTCCAATGGACCACAGTTTGCAAGGTAAGGAAGGTTGATTGTATTTAATAATGTGTTTTGATAGGACTTAAGAGATTAATGTACATATGCTATATGGCCACACAGAGTTACTTAACTATCCAGTCTACCCAGTCATACATCAATGGCAGGTACCGTGTCTGACCATTGGAATTTTGCATCCTTAAAAGGTCATTTTCACATTAATTCCTTCTGAAACACACAGCACACTTTTCTATTGCATGCTGCTGAATCCTCACAGCTCTTTCACAGGGCTCCAAATCTATCATCTTATGTGAACACAGATCTGTATCTCAAAAGATACAAGGTAGAGGTAGGTCAGAGAAAAGGTAAATGAACTCTGATGAGCTGATGAGGGGCTGACCACTGTAGATCTGACGCACAAAAGGGTTCTGCCTGCGTTTGCTTAATGACTTATTCTGCTTTTCTTCAGATGGGTAATTGCCAGAGTAAGCTCATCCTCACATGACACTTATTTTGAAAACCGATTCCCATAGAGAGCAAACAAATGATACCGTGTTTTCTTTTTCCTCAGGGAGCATGATGAGACTTTGGTCTTAATGGTTTTGGGGCCCAGGATGTGGTTTCTTCTCTAACTGAAATACACGGGACTTTATTTTCTGAACATTTGCTGCATCTCCTTTCCCACTTGAAATCTGAAATGTTTCCTACTATTCCTACTATACTTCAGGTGCTGTAGTCATGCCCCCCTGCTCCAACCTTTGACGAGCTCTGTTTTTAAGTTAAAGTGACAAACTCTAGAGGAGAGCTTTTTCTACTTTTTTTTTTTTTCTGACTCCAGAAATAACTCAGTGAAGCTGTTACATGAACTCATCTCTACAAACCCATTCACATTTATGTAGAATATCCATTAAGTCTTCCCATGCACTGTTTGAATGAAGTGAAGAAATAACAGACACGCTGTGTTCACGTCCTTTATTTTGCTTAAACAGTCTCATTTATTAAAACTAGATTAATTACACTGAGAGAGTCTTTTAGGTAACTGGAGTTCACTGATGATCCCACATTTATCACACTAAGCCCTGCCTACGTTCAGCTGGAATCCTGGACCAAAGTGTCTGTTTAATAGCTACCATAGACACCTTTCAGTGATGGATGGAAATTTGAATGCTATCTCACCTCTGTCCATGAGCAGGTCCTTGGCACAGTTTTTCTGTGTTCCTCTGTCTGCTTACTCGTTTTATTGCCAACAATGGGGTATTTGGCTTAGCTAAGTCATGGAGAATGAATCTTCTACCCTGTGATTAAATAATTAGCTTCCATCAAGTGAAAGAAAGCAGAATATTTCATAACTTCTCATCGGTATTATGGGATGTGACAGCTGCAGCCAAAAAATTAATCTCATTGTGCAAAGCCAGAGACTCTAGATCTAGCCAGTGTAGCTGCCTGCACTTTATTAAAGGCAGAGAAAGCAGAAGGGAATTCTGTGCTTTGTGCGCAGTGCAGAGCTCTCTTCACTGTGCGTGTCACCCACGTACATAACTTTTAATCCACAATCCTGAAAACAATGGTAGGAGACTGATGATCATAGGAATAGCCTGGTTTTCCTTCTGCATTAGATCTATTTAAAACCTTTTTCATTCACAGTTGTTGTTGTTGATACTGTATCTCTGCTTTCTTCTGTATACACGTTATAACTCATAAGCCACTCTTAGCTATGTAGCATTTCCTTAGTGGCTAACAAACTCCATTTTTTCTAGAATTTAAACAGAAGGAAGAAACCACAGTTAGGTGCCGGAATAATATTCAAGCCAGCATTCAGGAAGATCCATGGAACCTTCCATTGCGCATCAAGAACCTTGTTGAAATCATACAAAAACATGTGGAAGGTCTGTAAATAAGGAAAAATTTGTTATTGGCTTCAGGGAGAAAAGATCTTGATCTAATCAAGTCTAGCAGTTCATTTTATCATTTTATCTCAATTTGTAATAAGGCTGTACTGTGCTGTAGAGAGGAACAGGTAAAACGGGTTATTGTCTGCAGGGTTCCAGTGCTGTATGGTAAAATCTCACCTCTGCAGCAAATCCAAAGAACTTTTTCTCCCTTATTTTATTTCATCAACCCATTCAGACAGAATGATATCAAACTGATCTATTTCCCTGTGCTTTTTAAAAACCTTTTAGAAAATGGACACAGAGGTGCTTGGTATATTCCAAAATGAAATGAATGTTAATCAGATACTACAACATCCTAAACCATTGCAGTCTGGTTGAACTGGAACAGGAGCTGAATGATGTTTGCAGTAGCAATCACGTCCTTAGGGATTCATCTATAGGTGCAGTTTGTTTCCAATAATTCATGGTAGTTAACAGAGCATTTAGCCTTTAAAATTCTTTGATTTACATCTTGTTTCTTTTTCAGTCATGAACATGTCAGTGTGAGTGAGGACTACCAGAGTAGATAGAAATGGCCATGTAGGGGCCGGGGGTTGTGGGGGACGAAGAGACTTAACCAAATGCAATCACATCTACCTTGGTATCATGTTGATGGGACTATTCCTTTTCTTCACTGTTTTAGATGGGAAGAATCAGCTGCTTTTGGCCTTGTTAAAATGCACAGGTAAGGGGCTTTGATTTGTTGCAAAACAACATCATATATACAGAAGTCCCTGACACAGTTTTATGTGCATACATCAGAATGTTATGTTTTTCCTTAGCATTTAGGTTTTTCCCTGCCATTTTACACTAATGTTTCTCTTGCTATGCATCTAGGGCAACTTTTCCATGCATCTGACATGTGTTTTTCAGTTTACATTACTTCAATTCACTATGGGCTGCTTGTGTTACCTGGCTGGTCACTGATGTTTCACAAGCACTGTTTTTCTTTTTACTGTCTGCATTTTTTCCGTTGTACAATCCTCCTCCCCAGATGGCCTTTACTGTTTCCTGCTGTGGTGAGAACATGCAGCAAAAATAAGCCCTATTGCACAACTTTCTGTGAGACCACGGACTCTGTCATTTTTCCAAACAGAGCCGGCGCGTTAGGCGTTAGGATTGTGTATACTGGAATTACAGCCAGGAGCAGACTCAGAACCCAGACGCGCAGGCAGCACCTGTATACACTGTGGACATCATTCATCTGTTTCCATGCACAACCCATTGTGCGCACAGCTCACAGGACAGGCCTTTCCCAGGGGTGGATATACAGTCCTTTTGTAATTGAAACACCTGCTTGGTGTACTTCAGCTTGAAAGTGAGGTAATAACTGGAATAGACTGTCGTTATTTCACTGTGCCAGGTTAGACTGTCAAGTCTTCATGGAATTAAGAGGACAGACATGTGTGGCTCCATGTCACCTCTCTGCTCCTACCAAGGCAGGTCCATGAGTCTGTCCAAACCAGCCCGTGGCATCAGTCTAGTGTCCGTAAAGGCTGTTTTTATTGATAGCAGATATAATGACTCCCTAAGTCTCTACCTGTGCCCCATCTCCAGCAGCATTTCCGTGAACATCGTCTGGAAAGAATGGAGGAGCAGATGGCAGTGAACTGGCTGCGGCAGCTTTGTGGCACCGGGGATTCCCTTGCCTTGAGGGCAGTCCTGAGCTCTCTGCCTTACTTCCAGCAGCAGAGGTGTGCTGCTAGACGGACTGGTTGCCCTTAGGTTGAGAATGTGGCCCAGGCCCTGGAGTGTATTAGTCGGTCTATTGTGTTCAGTGCTTTATGAACATAATCCAGATCTTCAAGGTCTCTGGGTGATGTCTTCAGCTTCTTCCTCTGCGGAACACTGCCTTGACAATGGGAGACTGCTGTCCTGCAGGGCCTGCTGGAGGAGCCTGGGGTGCCTGGGAAGTGGCTCTTCACTTATTCATGTGCCTCTTTGGCCTGCAATCCCCTTAAGTGTGACGAGGTTGATTTGACCAGCATGTGGCTGCCTAGCAGGCAGGCTGGGAGCAAAGTTAACAACTGGGAAAGCTCTCCCAGGAAACATAAACCCATTGGTACCGTATGGGCAGGGCCAGTTAATGCATTAAGCATATGGGAAGCCCACAAAATACAGATGGATGGGGGAAGATGAATCTCTAATAGCCCAGGAGAGAAGTAATGGCAGAGACCTTCTTTCAAGAATTCTCTTGGTTCTGTAAACATAAAAAAGAAGGGAATCAGTCCAGATATAGCACTAAGGAGTTACAGCTCTTCTCGGTCAGAAGAATGAGCGTGCAGATGGCAGAGGTAATAATAAACAGTTGAGTGCACTAGAAAATTGTCAAGCATGCATGTACTCTAGCTATGTTGTCTTCATCTGTACACCCAGCTCACCCAGCAAGAAGAGTTGTCTGTTAAGTCTGTGCAAAGCTGCAGCAGAAGCCAAATGTCACGCACACACATATGCAAACTGCTTCTTTGGCAGCGAGATTAAAGACAAATATATTCATGACTTCTTTATGCTTCTCTCCCCTTCTCTGGCAGATACTGAGCTACAGCTGAGACGTGATTCCATCTTCTGTCAGTCTTTCGTGGCTGCTATTTGCACCTTTTCAGAGCAGTTACTGGCGGCTCTCAACTATCGATACAACAACAATGGGGAGTACGAAGAGAGCAGCAGAGATGCCAGCAGAAAATGGCTGGAACAGATAGCAGCCACTGGTGTGCTACTTAACTACCAGTCTCTTCTCTCCCCCGCTGTGGTAAGATGAAGAGTTGTGGCACCCTTGGGGTCTGCTCACACTTGCCTGTATGCTTCTCTGCTACTCGCAGCACAGCCAGAGCCCCTCATTCTAGCAGCATCACTACAGCAACCCCTGGAGAGTCCCGCTGCTGACAACCATGTGCCAATGTTCCATATCCCATCATTTTCATCTCCTCACAAATACTGGACCCACTGTCACACTGGGACACTATAGGAATACGTCTGCCTTCCCATTTGGAGTAACGCTGCTGCATTTAGGGAGGTTTTGCTGCTCAGTTGTTGGTGACATGCATGTGGCCTGCCATCTTCTGGTGAAAACACACATTTCAGCAAATAGGTGAAAAAGTTCTGAGTATTTTAAGAGTTCTGACAACATGAAAATCTAGGCTTTTATTCTTACAGCAGCCACTTTTGTAAACTAGATAGGACTGCAGCCTCTGTCTCACTTTCATGGTGCGGGTATTTGAGGCACCATGTCTAAAGAGGAGAGGAGCTGGTCTTGCATAGTTCATCTGCACCTAATGAACAGATAAACTGTGGCTACAGTAGCTAACCTACCGTAACTGTAAAGTGTTAAGAAAAAAGGAGCATAAAAAAAAAAGTAGCCCTGACACTATAGAGAAGTGATTTTTTTTTTTTTACTTTAAAAACATTGCAGGTGGAGTGGGTTTTGTTTTTTTTTAAGATAATCAAAACTATATGAACATGTAACGACTATTTCTTCACATTGCATGGAATGTATGGATATGTATTTCACAGTAACTGATAGGCCATTCTACACATTTGTAGGTATAAAGTTTGGAGAAAGAGATCCCTTCAAATTCATTCAGTCCTTAAACCTCTCTGCTGTCTGTGACTCACATCAAATGGCATCTAAGCAAAGGGTAGCTAAGCTTGGAACACAAATTTAAAGTCCTATTAGTAATCACCTGGATGGGATGGAATTAATGGAAAGCTCCACCTTCTGATCTAAGTCTTCTGAACCAAAGCATACCCATAACAACTCTACCTTCCTGCCATTGATCTCTTTCTGGCAGGTTGTAACCCATTTGTATCTGTTTCTTTGCTCTGCAGAAGGAGGAGCGCGCCATGCTGGAAGACATCCAGGTCACTCTGACTGAACTGGACAAAGTTGCCTTCTATTTCAAACAGCTGGATGAAAGTCTCGTAGCAAGTGAGTATTCTCTGTTTCTTCAAAGCTCTTTTTTTCTTGTTTGTTTTACGGGTTAATATCCTCCCTGATTATAAATCTAACAGACCATGTCAGAGCTGAAGAATACTGAGCAGCTTCTCTGAAGCACTGTTGCATTCTCTGAGTCTTTTTTGCAAACACACAACTTAAACAGCAGGACTGACATAATGGATGCTGGCGGCATGTTCTGTGATCTGTAACTGTGGTCTGTGCCAGTGTACCTTACCTGTGTGATGTCATGCATACGGAGATCTGACAGATAATGAGCAGTTCCTGACAGATGTTTGTCATTCACCACATTACCTAAGACAGAAGGACTGTCCCTCCAGAGCTCTTCTGTGTCCCACCCTGCCGGATCTCTCTCCATGTTTACTGACTATGAGATGCCATGAAACAAGATGGGATTTTAATTATTAACCATGTTTATTGTATTAGCATCAAACATCATGCTAGGTCATGCTAACTGTATCTTCTTAAGTATAACATTTCAGAGCCTGCATTCTCTCAGTAAAGGCTCGCCCTTATTCATCTAATGGTGGAGATGTGAAACCTCCTTAGATAATTTAACAAACTCAGATAGCAATGGTTTCGCATTTCTCCTGCTGTGGTAAAGCAGCAAGTGTTTTATCTTTATGTCTGCAGATACTCATGTCTTCTACCACATCGAAGGAAGTCGTCAGGCCTTGAAGGTTATCTTGTATCTTGACAGCTACTACTTCTCCAAACTGCCTTCTCGGTTTCAGAATGGGGGAAGCTTGAAACTACACACGGTGCTCTTTACACAAGGTGTCTATAAAAAGATTTCTTGAGAAAAATAAGCTAACTGATGACGTTGAAAGGTTCAAAATATCTTTGACGAGGAAGCTGTTAACGTAACGCAGCTGAGAAGTACAGATGTATTTAAGAAGCAGATGTTTCTATTCTAGCAAGAGCTGGGGAGTGCTACATTTTAGAAGACACAGTAGTGAGAACAAGCTGTGCCTGTCTGGGGCTTTTTTACACCTCCCTGTAAAGATTCAGGCCATAGAGACATATCAGGCTACATAGACAGTCTGTTCTGGTATGGTATCAGGAGATGTTCCCAGGCTACAGAGAAAAGTTTAAAAGCATACACCACGACAGAATCATCTGGGCTGGGAAGTGACTTCTTGATAAGCAAATATTCACACTGAAATACGATACAGGACATTTCCTTCAAGAGGGTATTAATAGGGAGTAATTGCTGTTAGGTAGAACTGCTTTCTGTGAAGCTCGCCTTTGTGGTACTGCCACAATAGTGCCACACTAGGAAATGCATTAAACGTATCCAGTAATAGAATCAGCCCTGGCATGATCCAACAGGCACTTGCTGAGCAGTGAGATGATATAGAGATAAGTAAATGAATTAATAAAAAGAAAACTAATAACATAGGTTTGGTAAAATGTTTTCTTCTTCAGCTCTGGAGAGTATGGAGGGGCAATCACAGCCAGCTGGCTCATCTCTGGAAGAACTTCCACAGCAAATTAATGGTATTTCGCTTGAAAAAGTGCAGCAATACTACCGTAAACTCAGGTATTTCATGCTGCTTCTTTGCCTTAAAAGACATTGAAAAGAGTGCTCCTTGCTAAGGACCTTAAAATTTAATGAAAATGAGATTCTGTTCATGATGGTTTCTTGGACAAGTATGATTTTTGGAGATCCTTATGGTATAGGAAACCTGTTAATTTTCTTCCCACAGTTAAGCTCATTCTGAAGTAGAGCACTGTACAGGATGAAATTCCCATCTAATTTGACTTCAGAATTTAGTGCAGATCTAAAATTACATGAAAAGGGGGTTTTGGAATATTTTAATGCAGATTCTGTAAGCTACTGCAATCAAAATCCTTCAATAAGAAAGCAGATCTTGAAGTATAAGATTGTTAGCATAGCCTTCTCAGATGTTTTATACAAGACAGTATACATATATGTGTTTGAAATGAGTCACACCAACTAACGTAGTCCTTGCTGGCCTTTTTGCAGGACATTTTACCTAGAGAGGTCAAACTTGCCAACTGATTCCAATGCTACTGCAGTGAAGATTGACCAGGTATTGTTATTATGTTTATTTCTGAAATAAATTATCTCATAGAAGTATTATTTCTACATCTCTAAAATCCCAGTCGTGGAATACCCCTATGGCACACCCATATTGACCAAACATCATTTAAAAAATGTTTCCTGCCCTAAAGAAGTGATCTGAATTTCTCTGAAGCTGGGCTACAGGTCTTTTGCTTAGAAGAGAATGTGCAGAGCTGTGGTACGCACAAACCCCTTAACTTAGGCACTGATAAGACTCCATATCACCCAGTCTGCCCTTGCTAAATACGGTATCTGGTGGGAGACAGAATTAATTCATTTCCCTCTCCCACAGATGCATGAAAATGAACAAATGTTCAATTTGCAAGTGATATTTGTTCACAGTTACAGAAGAAAACAACAAGGAAGTAGTACTTCCCAGCACCTCCTGTAAGGGCAGTCTGTCTGTCTGGGGCAGGTGACATATGCGAATATACGCGTGTAAGGCATTAAATACTGCGGCAGGGAAGACAAAATCAGAGACTATCTTTACAATTGTAATGTAATTGTAAACGATCTGTGTGATTTGTGATAATTGACAAAAATTGCACCAAGCCTAAGTAATTGTTTGTATTTTTCCATTTCCAAAGTTCATATATATTCTAAATAGTTGTTACTGTGTGGCAGTTACTCTTGTGTAGGTTATTGTGCTTAGCCATAGGATAAAGAGTTGTAAATGTCTTCATAAGTGAAGGTGTAAGTGTGCCACTGATGCATTTGTTATTGCTTTGTTCAGCTTATTCGCCCCATTAATGCGATGGATGAGCTTTGCAGGCTGATGAAGTCTTTCATTAATACAAAACCAACCCAGTCGGGATATTCCAGCAGTAACACATCAGGAGCTGGCCTGCTACCTATATCCTCTGAGCTCTGTTATCGACTTGGAGCCTGTCAGATCACCATGTGCGGCACTGGGATGCAGAGGTGAAATTTAAGAAACCGACGTGTTACTGGTGTGATGAGAACTTCAGTCCTTTCTAGAGATTTGAGCAATGTATTTTATTCTGTTCAAAGCAATAGAAAGGTAGATTGTAAGGGAAATATAATAAAGGACCTAAATCTACTGCTGTCTTTAGGGTAGGTTGTGACTTTCAACACTACTGTTAATAATTACTATTGACACACAAACTTTTTTATATTTCAGTGCATCACCCTGTGCAGCTGACTGAGTGATCTCATTGCACATAGCTTTTAGTCAATATTGTCTTCAATCACACACTGAAAATGTAGGAAGTTGCTCAAAAGTAGCTTAAGAATCTTGGTGTGTGCAAGTATTGATTCTAAACACACCACTGTCTTCCAGTGTCTTAAAACCATTGAGTAAAGAAAAGATTCATTCATTAATAACTTTGAGTCAAGGCAGAAGAGCAGTGGAACATAGCCTTGTGGGAATGGTGCTGGGGACTCAAACAATGGCAGTATTGAGGTGTAACGAGACTGGAAATGCAGGAGTGAGGTCGTTTTATAGTTTTGTAAGTAAAAAAACCTAAAAAAGTAAATATAAGAACATTAGCTCACAGATGTCACACTTAACAGGTGAGTGTCCTGTACATACCTATTTGTACAATTGTAAATGTCGCCTGTGATTCAATATCCCTTGTTCCCGTGTCCAGAAGTACATTGAGCGTGTCCCTGGAGCAAGCAGCCATCCTGGCGAGGAGCCATGGACTTTTGCCCAAGTGCATCATGCAAGCGACAGACATCATGCGAAAGCAAGTAAGTGTTTGGATGTGTTGTCTGCTGCATCCCACCGTTTTCATTCTAGTAACTTCATTGTGCAAACACCAATGTATTTGCATGTGGCACAGTATTTTGTGCACTGGAAACCCCCACAGCCAAACTGCTGTTAATGGCTGAACAGCTACACACACGTTTGACAGGAACAAAACTCTTGCACGTACAGCCATTACAGCCATTACAACATATGCCTCAGTGTACATTATTTAAAGTGTGTGCCTTGATGGTTAGAAAGTGGAGACTACCCGGTATATTTAAGACAATTTCTGTACATAAAAAAACCAAGTCTCAATCACAGTGTTAAATAGCAGAAATTCCCTAGTGCTACACAGCAGTGCTTGTAAAGTGCTTTGGGACTAATTCCATATTTTAAGTAAACACAGATGACTAATGTATCCACCCGATGGATTCCAAGTCTTCTGAAAGTAGTTAATGGATTCTCAGATAGAAACCATACTCCCATTATAATATTTTCCCCTAAGGATCAGATGCTTTATCGATACTGTCAGTACCATAAATTCTCTGTTTCCTTAGGGACCAAGGGTTGAAATCTCTGCCAAGAATCTCAAAGTGATGGACCAAATGCCACAGTGTGCACCTCGGTAGGTTATTATGTATTACACATTTTTTTCTGATTGCTGGTTTTATGTTTCTGTAACAATTGTGGAGTTCCTGTTATAACCAAAGATCTCCTTAGTAGCACTAGTGGAAAAAGGAAAAAAATTCCTGTTCTTCTTTCCCACTGTACTAAACTAAGTATGGTGTCAATTAATCAGCTTTGCTGATTACAATGTGCAGATCATTACCTTCAAAGGTTTCTGTATTTTCTGAATAAAAGATAACTGATCAGAGAGAAGGGGCTCTTTTGGACTGTTGCTGTGAGTTGGCAAAGCTGGTGATGACAGCCAACTGTGGAATACTTAGAAAGAAAAAATCCTGAATGGCAAATCTGACTGCAGCTATGCAGAGATAATTCCCAGGCTAATACCACTGTGTGCTTAAAAAAGAGCTTTACTGGTTAGTTATAGCCGAGCAAGTTTAAGAGCAAGCACTTCAAGTCAGAGTACCCACACAGTGGCACAGCTCTAAGGAAGATGGGTTGCCCAGGGTTATATGTGCTGGTTTTGTCTAGAAGACAACTTTGAAAAGCCCTGTACATTTGTGAATCCTGCTGCGCCTAACGGGAGCTAGAGACGTTCATCATCTCTCCACAGGGTAAGAATACCTTTATATTTAGGAGAAGTATCTCTTTCTGGGCTATTGTGTCCAATTTCATATATCAGAGAGAAAATAATATTTTTTAATAATCTGTAACACAGCATTTTCTCACAGTGGTGCAAATAGTCATGATTTAAATTAGAATATATACAGAATCAGCCTGAACAGATACCGGAGAAACTTCTGGTTCTGCTCTTGTTAATGGCATTGTTTACATGAAGGCGCGACAGTTCTGGTGTGCAGGGATGAGCATCAGAAAAGGTCCAGTAAAGTCTGTGCTGTCCCTTCACATAGAGCGAGCGTCTTTGCTAGTGCTAGAGTCCTGCAAATAACGTATTAGTTCAGTGTCAAGACTTCCTTACAGCACTGGTACGTTATTCACCCACTGAGACTCCTGAGTTACTCTAAACAAGCCCTGCCTCTTTTTTTTTTTTTTTTTCTTCCCTATCTGCTCCTCTAAATGTTTATAGGATATAATTTGAAACTCTAGAGTCTGTGATGATGGTTACTGTAAGAGACCTTAAAAAGAACAATATTTTGCATTTAGAACTTTATCCTTCTGTTGGATTGTAATTGCTGTTTCAAAAAGGAGTAAAGTAGTAGTCTGTGTTGGCTCCTGTACCACGTCCCCAGTGTCACACATCAGCATTTTAGCGGCATGGTTATTTTGCCTTATTAATGGCCGTACATTGGGTTCCATTTTTATGACCATAACAGCATGCTATGTTCAAAAAGAAACAGTTCTACAAACAAATTATAAGATGAGGCATTTCTTTTGTACACGCTCTAAATCACAATGACAAATTCCAGGACTATTTACTTGCATTATTTCAAGGCAATAAAGATCAGATGCAAGTGTTCCTACTGGGTTCCATCACCATAATGTGAAATAAAACTGAGCAAAGTTAATAGGAGATCTGGTGAATTAATGATAATTCTCATGTTTATATTTCCTAGCATGAAGGTTTGTTAAACTCTGTAGTAGTAAAAGACCTGAGTTTATTGAAATGTAAAATAGAAACAGCCACCGCAAACAGTCATACATGAATGACAGTCAAGATGTGCTCACGTTTACCCGCTGGCCTCAATTTGCTAATCTTGTGATTCAAAAAATTCTCTGAAAACATGATTACTAATTCTAAAGTTTGTTCGCCCACATCAACAAGCAAATATGTTCTTTTATCTGTTTGATATCCCAGACTCTATGAGGCGTGAATTCTTCTGTTCAGGAAAAATGCTGGGCTGGGTTTAAAACTAAAGGAGTAGAAAAAGAGAGGAGGGACTGTCGAAGACCCTAAATTAGGACAAAGTTAGAGTGATGAAAAGTCTCTAACAGTATTTAAACAATGACTGTAAATACTTCAGTTAATAACTCACTAATGGCACTTCTAAATTTGCAATTATTAAAATTAAAAATAGCGGTGGTGTTGGTATGGGATTACCTCTAAAGCTTGCAGACTGATACAGAACTTGACTCTCATACTGTGCCAGTATCTTTATGTTAACTCATATGTTATCATATGTGAGTACATTTAACACTGTACTCTGCATCTGCCTTAAAGACTCTATAGGTTGTGCCAGCCACCTACAGATGGGGATTTATAAAAGCAGGAGAGGCACCTACACTGCAGCATCATTAAAGCATCAACTCTGAGCAGCCCAAGGACCCACGCGGACTGACCCTGGTGGTGCTGAATCAAGAGAGGAAGAGAGACTGCGCTGCTCTGGGAGGAGCTGAACCTGCTGGACCCAGGCACCAGGAATGTGCCTTGAACCCCTGCAGCACATGCAGAGATCCCTGTATTGCTTTGGCTTCTTGAAGAAATTCCTGAAACCACCCCCACAGAGCTAAGGTGGATGTTACCTGCCATTTGCCAGATGCCTGGAAAAGTGGCAATTCTGTTTCAAGGAGGTGCAGTTTTACTGATGACTTCTTTGTGGTGCCACCTGAAAGTTGTGGACTTCAGAAGAAAATCCAGAATGAATGATGCGTATCTCTCTCCCTGTACTGCATCTGGCATCCATTTAATTGCCAGCATAGTTTTGGTCAGTGTCCTTGAGCAGCAGCTTCATAAACACCACTTTTCATGAACTGACCTGCACTTTGGAACAACGAATAGCACAATCTACAGTTTCTTCAGATATGAACATAAAGAATTTCTTCTGGAGTAATTTTCCACTTCAGCCCAGTGAGAACCAATCTCTCTATGCTGCAGAGTATACATTCCATAATACTTCTTAACATTACTTCATTTTACTTACTGTAGCTTTCAGGTTTTTGATTAACTCTTTTTACTAATGCCCTATTCCGTACTCTGGAAAGACAGTGCTATTTAAGAGAAGAGATTAGGAGTGAAGGATTCTAAAGGAAACTTTACAAAGGAAAAATAATGTCTTATAATCTGATTATTTGAACAAATGTAGTTTTTAAAACAGGTCAGAAGAACTATACTTATTTATGTGGAGTGGAATATGTGTTTTCGATCATGTTATTATATATACAAGATTTAAATAAAAATTATATTGTTTAAAATGGGACCAATATGCTGGCAATTACACAGCTACTCCCAGTTTACTGAAAAAAAATCTACATTATTTAAAATCTTTCAATATTTAAGTAGTCTTTAATACAGTTATTAAGATGTATTAGGGATGCTTTTAAGTTAAAAAAGGAATCATGTATATAATGTACTTTATTTTTTTTCTTGTTTGAAAATTTGTTCTCCATTCTGTCAGTATTATCCTAAGCACAGTAATTTTTTCTAAATTACTGGCTGAAACTAATTGAAACATGTCAGCAGTCTCAGGACAGAAATAATGTTCTTTTGGAGAGAGTGCCTTAATATGACCACCCATCCCTAACAAATTTCAGTTGTAGCAGGTCTGAGGAGGAGGGGGTATAGGAAACTTACCATTCCTCTGTTTCTGCACAGCCTCGTTTAAAGCAGTTCATAATTAGGAGAAGTGCTTTGCAGTGATGTATATTCTAGAAAATAAAAGTATGGGGGTTTTATTTGTGAGGTTGTTTGGTTTTTAGCTGGCTTAATTTTATTTTATTAACATCCAAACCAACTCAAAAATTAAAATTAGACTTTTTCCATTTGGATGTGAAGGTCTCTTAATTTTTTAATCTACACATTGACACAAAATGGCTTATGACAAGTTTGTGGATGCAGATTGTTCTGAACCTTGTTTATTTCTTTTAATTGTTGTTTTTTTTTCCCTTCACTCAGAAACTGAAATAATTTTGGGGAAGAAACATGTTTTGTTTAATCTCTTTTAAGTGTTTCCTCTGCCCTGCAGCAGCCAGTTGTGGGGAACGAGGACAGCCCATCAGTCGCCAGGTGTGGGTACAGGGGTTCGTTGCTGAGTACCCATTCTGTACTGCAGCCAGATGAGCAGATCAGTATTTCAATGCACTTTCTGATTTTTTTTTGTTAATTTTGGAAAAGTTATCCTTGCCCTTTGCTGTTTGAAGAAGAAATTAGTGTTTCTTTACTGAATCCTCAACTTAAAATGTACTTAGTATTATCAAAATAAGAACTATAGGAACACCCAAAAGTAAAGAGAACACATAGGCCAAGATCCTCGCTGGTGTACGTCAGCTCTGTTCAGCAGAACTGCAGCGATTTCCCTGCCCGGTGAGGATCCTGGCCCACACGCAGTCACTGTAAACATTAGAGACGCATAGAAGGATATCTAAGGGCATTTACACTGTGCACTGTTTTACATGGAAATGTATATGGTATTCTCATTGAAACGTGATAGAAGTTTTTATTATTAAAAGTTGGTTTATATTCTATGGAAAGAAGCTATGATCTTATTTTTCTGTTACACCCTTTAGCTCCTTAGCTCTCTAAGTGCTGCTGAAAGTTCTGATAGTTGTATGGAGCAATGAGTCGTCAGAAGTTCAAACTGTAAGAGAAAAGTTGTTTTTGATATCAGCTCAAACTGGCAGTGCAGAGCTAAACTCTTCCTGTTCGTGCAGTGTCAGCTACAGATGTGGTTTCACTGCAGGCTTCCTGTTAAAGGAGAGAAGAAAAACTGTTTTGATGCTGCAAAACTGCAAGGTTTGAATCCAGTGCTGGAAAAAAACAGGTTCAAGGGGAAAATAACAGGGCAATGCACAAGCCAACCAGCAAGCAAAGAGAGGAGATAAGGTCTGCAGAATTTCCACGGCTAAGAGCAAAGAATCAGGCTTGCCAGAACTGAGCAAGTGCAGATTTCATCGATCTGGAGCATCTGATAGACTGGATGTGTGGAAAATGTGGAAAACACTGCTGAGAGGGAGAAAATGGAAACCAGCAGCATGGTGATGAGGTGTGTGAGCAGCTGGCTAAAGGAGGGCAGGGGACACTGAAAAGAAAGTGGGGGTTGGGTGGCAGTTGCAAGTGGAATTTCTTATGTATCAGTCTGGTAATTGGATTTGCTTAGTGGTTCATTAATTACTGAAGCACAGACACTGTGAGGCTGGGGCTGACCTGAAGTTGGGAGGCACCAATCTAGAGAGGGATCAGGGCACACTCAGAAAAACAACCCTGGAAGACTTTGAACACTGAAAGGGATGAAATTTTACAGTACAAATATTAGCTCGTGCATGTGAGAAGTAAACAAAGGATTTTGCTCTATTTCTTGTTAATTGATAATAAAGGACTGTGGTTATAGAGTTTGTCACAAGATAAGTGAGACGCAGTATGACAGAAGCAGGAAAGCTCAGCCTGCACTAGGAGACAAATCTCCTGTTGGGATGGAGAAGTATTAAAGCCAGTGTGCAGAGGGCAACTAATTCTGTGAAATTGCAAGAGCTAGATGTTGAAGAAAGGTACTAAAATGGTATCAATAAAGTGGATACAATTCTGCAAGATAAGACCAGGAGAGCCTGATTTATTAAGCCTAAGACACGAGTGTAACTGATGTCTTTATAAGAGGATAATAATGAAAAAGGTCAATCTAAACATAAATGCAGGCACAAGGAGAAAAAGGAGTACAAGCAATCAGGGATATATATTGGATGAAAATTGTTCTGAACCCTAGAAACTTTTTTTTTTCCAATTAGACTCTGACAAAAAAAAAAAAAAAAAAAACACAACAACAACAACAACAAAAAACAAAACAAAACAAAACACCTTTTACAAAGGGGCTTGTAAAAGATGAAGCCGCAGTGCCCAAAGTCGCAGGAGAGCCTCTGAGTGGGATGGGGCAGCCCTTCCCCGGCTGGCCCCCTGGGCCACAGAAGCAGAATTTGGCTGTGACAGGAGATGCCGTGAACAAGCCATGCTTTGTCTGATTTAGTCCATGGCATTTGCAAAGGTACAAACTGCTTTTCAGACCCAGGCCTTGGCTATCTGTTAGCATTAAACATTTTCATATTCCACTACTCGTTTGCAGACTGAAATACTGGGATTTTTAGGTGAGAAACCACAAATTTAGACAAATACACCTCTCATTTCCATTTAGAATAAAAAACATTGAAAAGAAAAATCCACCTGGGCTCTGGCAAATCCTTTTTCCTTTGTCATATTTTCTTATCAGCAGCTGGTGCTAACTTGGAAATATTTTGAGCACTAATTCCTTCATGGTTCTAAAGGGATTTGAAGATATGAAACACTAAGGCCTAACAATCAGAATTTCAATGTAAAAGTAATTTGAAACACTCCCACTTCCTTACCAGCACATAGTATTTCAGCTGTGGTAGCCCTGGGCATTGTAAATGGCTGATGCAGCTTCCAAGCATCTGGTCATTGCTCACTGGTAAAAGTGTCAAACCCCCGCCCCAGCCCACCAAACAGCCCATGAAACCAGCCTGGTCACAAAAGCACAGCCCAGAGCCTTTCTGGCATCACTGATTAATCAATTCATTACCCAGTACAATTTGTACTACTTTTTCTAAATCTAGTACTTGTGTAGCACCAGGGTGTTCAAATACTGAGCAATTCGCTTTTCTTCCCCACTGCAGTTTGGGTAGGGAACTGGGGAACTATTTTCTTACCACTGGCATTGTGAAGATTCAGAGGAGAAAAATTGTAAACTGCTTTGAAAACCGAGAGTGCTTTACATATCTAATACAGTTCTAATGACTTGAAAAAGAGGGAACTAGATGGAAAAAAGGATAAACATCATAAAGACATACAAAAACCTCTGCTTTTAATTCCTGTAAGTATATTAATTGAGAGCACTTGATATGGGGAAAGAGAACAGAGTGTATTTTTGATGTACTTGCTCTGCCCCATTCCAGGGTTGCAGTAATACCATCAAGGAACCTAATTTAACATACCTGGTTTCGTTAGGGGAAAAAAAGAATAAGCTCATGTTTATGTGTGAAGATTCTTCACACTCCCTTGTCTTCAGCAGTTCCTACTCCTTGATTTGAAGAACATCAGAATCAGTAAATGTTAGGTGAATAATATTTTTAAAATACAGTCTCAGCAAGAGTATATTCAATTCAGATTTCAGACAGCACCTGTTTGTAAAAGAATTGCTAATTCCTTTACCACACAGTTTGGCATGAGGATAACACTGTTTATTTAAGGTCCTTCTAGCTGTCAGCACATATGCTGAGGATCAGGCTCTGATGCACTCTCCCAATCAAGCGTACCAGCCTGGACCCCCATCACTGGAATGGGTCATGGCTTTGTGTCTGAAGCCTATACAGGCTTCAGTGCTGAGTTAAGGATGAAGGACCTGATTATCTTAGAACAACAGCTTTGCGTCTCATGGCTGACCTTTCACAGATGGTGCTGGATGAGCTAGGACCACAGGATGGAAATCACTGCATGAGTACGAAGCCATAGAACAAACAAATAACTCATTGAAGAAGACTTCCGAAAGGCCTCTATTTT